GAGACTCTCCTTAGTTCTCTTTTTATTGCCATCATTTTTTTTCTGCATCTTTTGTTGCACCATTCCACCCTCCCAGACGGCAAAGGGAAGCACACACTTGGATACACAGGGATATTCTTGCTTGCTTTGTTTGACCCTAAGCAAGTCATTCAGCTTCTGTGTTTCACTTTCCTACCTGAGAAACTAGGTCACGCCTAGACTGAAAGTCAGGTACACTGAAGATCTTGAGACTGAGGGAACTTGTATTCCCTTCTCTTTGATGCTGTGCTGTACCTCTTTGCAGATGGAATGTATTCAGCATTTCTGGACTCACTTCAAAGCAAACATAACCTTTCACTGAAGTGCTTGTAGATAATCCGAAAACCCAATACATATGTTTACATTTCATTACCTGTTTAAAAAGTACCTTTAACCTGGAAGCTTCTCTCAAATACTGTTTCTTAAAACAGAAACAGGTATTAAATTCAGCTCAACCTTTTTAGTTGATAAAATGTAAAAAATCTGCAAAGCTTATACATGGCACACTCCAAACTTGGAAGGAGCCTAACAAAGAGGGATCAGACACAGTGGTTGACACCACCTTCAGTTCACAGCAGCTGTTCTTACCAGTCCCTGCCACAGAGTCTGAGCTGCCTTTGAAGAAGATTTGCATTAGTTGTTTAAGATATGGAGAAAGACAACTGGGAAAAATACATCCAAAGGTATTATTACTGCAGATTTTATTGGTCAGTGTAGCGAAATGTACTGATTCTCAACCTAAAGATATAGGTATACTGAAGTATCTTTGTTAAAGGAGTAATTCTTGCCATGTCATTAATTGGCTTCAGTAAACACGGTTCTCAAAAAATCACCCATTGTTTCTCCTGCATTCAGAGGAAACCCATGTTTAAAAGCAATGCAAAAAAGTCTAGACCAACTTATTCCTTTTAAGCCATTGAAGTCTTCTGGAATCCCTTGCATGATAGCAAAGGGATCCACGAGAAATGGTTCACACTGCTGATAAATACACTGGTCTTAAGACCTAGGTGAAAAGTTCTCTACTGTGACCACATAAAATGGAGTACAAAGCAGAATGTTACAGTTATCAGTTTATAAAATAATTTCTTACATGCTTCTTTTAGCTAAATATCTGATGAACAATGTTTATGTATGCAAACAGAATGCTTTCCTAAAAAAGGTTCATGTCACAAAGAACCTTTCTCAAGTTCTAGAAGGGTATGAGAAGCTCAGTGCAGAGATTTGCAGAGGGCCTTTTACATCCTCTTGATGAGGATACGGACAGAGGAACACTAGCAGCCTAGGGAGGGAACAAAAAATTGGGCTGCATTTAAACTGAAAGAATATATGAAATTGTAAGTGAAACAATTTTACGAAAACAGAATAATCCTTATTACACATTAATGTTTCTGTTAGATGCTCTGACTCACACAAATTAGCAGCGACAGTACAAAGCAGTCATAAGTAATCTTACCGTTGATGATTGGTGGCATGGACAGAACAACACCGTTGCTGTCGTAAATGACAGGATAAAGTGGCTTGTTTTCAATGAGGTGTAAATAGTGCCGAAGGTGGCTGTCAGTCTGGAGACAAAAAGCACAACCTGAATTTCACATTAGCTCACTTGGGAACTTCCATAGTGCCACTATCCTTTGCTGAGAGATTAAAGGGAATTTTGAGAGGGAGGGTTTTGGCTTAGAGCTCGGTACTTCACTGGCAAAAACTGTTTGCTCTCAGAAGCAGGAAAACTTTGAAATGAGAGAAGTGGACTTTTTTGTTTTCTTCCAAAGTGTTAAAAATTACTTCTTAAAGGATTCTCTCAAAGATGCATAGGCCATGCTGTCCAAATCACAGAATCACAGAATCACAGAATCGCTCGGTTGGAAAAGACCTCTGAGATCATCACGTCCAACCGTTCCTGTCTCCCCACTAAACCATATCCTCAAGTACCTCATCTACCCGCTCTTTAAATGCATCCAAGGATGGTGACTCCACCACCTCCCTGGGCAGCCTGTTCCAGCCTCTGATGACCCTCTCAGTAAAGAACTTCCTCCTTAGCTCTAACCTGAACCTCCCTTGGCACAGCTTGGTGCCGTTTCCCCTTGTTCTATCCCCCATCACCTGGGAGAAGAGACCAGCACCCACCTCTCCACAACCTCCCTTGAGGCAGTTGGAGGTGGTGATGAGGTCTCCCCTCAGCCTTCTCTTCCCCAGGCTAAACAAGCGCAGTTCCCTCAGCCGCTCCTCATAAGGCTTGTTCTCCAGAGCCCTCACCATCCTTGTGGCTATTCTCTGATGATGAAATGATGCCCTTGTTCACCACAGCAGTCCTTTCCCAGCCAAACGTACGGGCACAAATCCTTAAGTTTATAGGAACTTTCCATAGAAGTGATAAAAATTAGCACTACAATACTTTTAATTATAAATTGCTGAATACTGACATATTTATGCTTAAATTTTATTTCAGAATTTACACCTGTTTGAATGACATGGGTATATGCTGTATCCAAAGCATCATTCACTTCTAGTTTCTTTGATACCCCTTGTTTCCTAGCTCCCTTACTCATCTTTAGTCAAAGATCTTTGAGAACTCCCTTGTGTCTATGGCCAGTATGTGTGCTCCAGCAGGGCTGTCTATTGTAACGATAGTGATAAAAGTATTGTTTCCAAATGCTGACATTTGAAGTGGCCCACATAAATACCATAAAATTAGACCTGATTCAATCTTTTCCTAGCGTTTACCAGGTTACATCATGATGATGATTCAGCAGTGCCAGACTTAACTTGAGCATTTTACACAGCTACGCTTGCCTACTATGTAGTTGGGTAAATAATTCAACATCTTCCCTAAGAAAACTGGCAAAATTAAAGCAACATTAAAAACTCCGGTATTATCTACCCCAAGCTTTTCCTCTGCTTTGTACACTGAGCATCTTACCAGTGTAGAGAGAGAAATATACAACCCTTCTACAGGAGTATTAAGAGCATCATGGAAAGCAGTCTTCATGTTGATAAACCAAGAGGGTTAATATCAAACCCACTACTCCAAGAGTTATGCTTAGCTACAAAACACCATTATGTATCTTTCATGGACAATAATGTATTACCATGCATTTCTCATGAATAAGCAAAATGTGGAATGCTCACTGGCTGAAGCTACAGAAGGTAGCTGTGTTTTACTTGTAAGAACAACTCTTAAAAACAAAGATATGAGAGACGCTAAGCCTTGGAAACTTATCTTCCTGCATTTAGTGCAACAAGCCTGAAAAATCCCACCTACCCTGTACAGATCCATAATTTGTGAAGCTGTGTACTCCTGGGACTGATTCAAGGGTTTGAATTTAATTTCAGAAGGTGGTTTAGCTGTAAAAGTAAATGGACCAGAGATGGTGTCCAAGTCATGGGTACCTATTGCTACTAAAGCTCTCCTCCTAGAAAGAAAGAAGGCAAAATAATGACTTTGTTAGTAGTATTTGGAGTTCCTCTGAGATAGTATCTCATGATGCTGTCTACCAGCATGTGTTCATAGAACTTACTGAAAAAGTAGAAGCTATTTTAATGAATAACATTTTAACAAATGTTAACAACACACCTAACAGTCAAAGGCAAATCCAATGGGACTGTTGCAGAACGCTTCTTTCTCAACTGCTGTAGGAGCAGTAACAGCTATTTATATTGAAAAATATTGAGAGCAGGCAGAAACAAGCAAGGAAATGAGAAAGATCAAGACAGCTGCTATAAAATATTTTCTTAACTATAACGCCTATCTGCAACTGGGATGTGCAGTCTTAATATGTGATAAGATCACACACACAGATACTACACGCTACATTAAATTTAAGCACTAACCTGCAAACGTTTTGGTGTAGTTTTTCTTGGAGGTCAATGAAACTATCATAACGTTCCTTGGTGAAAGTTATATTACGAAGGACTGCAGCTACAGCATGAGGACGGATGTGGACAGTCTGCAATTTACAACAGGAAGACATTATAAATCTCAAATACACAGGACATACAAAACTAAAATGGATTAAATGTGTACTTTTCTTCACAAAATCCTCTTTTGTAAAGTGGTAATAAAAAAGACACTAGAATCTCCAAGGGGGAAAAAGCCCAAACAAACCCAATCCAGGTCTGGTAGATACAAGGAGGTTTCCAGTACACTCTGTAATGACCCAGAAGGCCAATGCAATGCGAGCATCTGAGACTCTGGTTTGATCTGCTACTAGGTGCACCCAAAATAATTTCTCTATTGTTCCTCCCCCTTCCCCTCCCCTTCGCTAACAATAAATCACAATGAGATATTTAAATTTCTTGGGCTCTTGTTCCACAAATAAGATCTGCAGTCTCACTGGTCTTATAAAATTGGTACTGATGCCTCTCTTGCTGGTGCAGAAACTCTATTTACAAAGGTGCAGTGAACACTTTTACCTGTTCAGTGATAATCAGCCTCTGACCTTCACCCTGAGCTGGTATTATCTTTTCATACCTAGGGAGATTTATCCTGGAATAAAACCAGAAATAAGTCTGTAACTGCAAGAAATTAAGTTCCCCAAATGCAGGAAACTTCAGAAATGTAGCAACAATTATATGTAGAAAACTTTCTTAGTGACATTTCTTGGCATGCAAATTAGCTAACTGTTTAAAACTTGTTTTCTCTGGGATACTAAACAGATTGCTGAATGAGAAAGAAAGGACTTAATCAAGAAGATAAAGTGATAGCAGAAAAGTGAAATAAATTATTTTGTTTTGTATTTATTACAGGGGATCACAAAGAAGTTCCTTTGCAGGAGCTCTTTACGAAGAAGTCTCAAATGAGAGGGGAGACCTCATTAATGTTTATAAATATTTAAAGGGTGAGTGTCACGAGGATGGAGCCAGGCTCTTCTCGGTGACAAACAATGATAGGACAAGGGGTAACGGACACAAACTGGAACACAGGAGGTTCCACTTCAATTGGAGAAGAAACTTCTTCTCAGTGAGGGTGACAGAGCCCTGGCCCAGGCTGCCCAGAGAGGTTGTGGAGTCTCCTTCTCTGGAGACATTCAAAACCCGCCTGGACGCCTTCCTGTGTAACCTCATCTGGGTGTTCCTGCTCCGGCAGGGGGATTGGACTGGATGAGCTTTTGAGGTCCCTTCCAATCCCTAACGTCCTGTAATTCTGTGAAATGGAAGAGCAGTTGAAAAATTTTTAGAACAGATCCAAAACTCAGTATCATTCTAGTCTAGTCTTTTAAAAATATACAATAGATCCTCTCTGGAGAAACATCTGACAAATCTGATCTACACATGAGATCATAATCAAAATCCAGGCAAGTGGCAACTTTGTTTATTAACCAGAAATTGACTCCTACTTAAACAAATAACAAACTGCAGAGAAATCTCACAACTCTACCTTACCTTTCTTTAAAGACCTGCAGTCCTCGGACCAACCCTTCAAGGCAAAGAAGATCATAACGGTTGGCGGGAACATCAATTTTATAGAGAATAGTTTCAGATGCACCCTTTGCCTTTTCTTCTCCTTTTTCTTTACTTATAATGTCTTTCTCAGACGTCTGAAATGAAGCAAAAGTGTGTTTTTAACCTGAAATATCTGAACATTGACAAGAGTACGACTGTGAGGTAACATAATAGGAAAAACTGTATTAGTTAAAAGTTAAATTTGGATTTATACAGCAAATGGACGCACCAAATGTCAGAAATTAAGTAAAATCTAAATCTTTCTCTGATTCAGAAACTGTAATGCAGTGTACCAAAAGAAGAATTCACTATTAGAACTGGACTTCAGAAAAAAATAAGGGATTATAGAAGCAAGAGCCTGCACGCTGGCAGATCACAGGAGAAAGCTGGGAGCTTATTTTTGGTAACAGACTAGCAAATGACTTGTCATATCAAGTCTATTCTGAAATAAAACATAAGATTTGTTGTTCAGATGTCTTTTGAGAAACATTATTAAAAGAACAATTAATTAAAATTAAAAAGCAAACCCAAAACAGGTGTACTTGAACAAGATTGACATGAATGCAGTTAGCAGGGCAAATTTTGACAAGTACAGAATCGAAATCAAAACTTTAAACATAAATTAGTTACAACTTAGGTAACAATGTCCAGGACAAATACATTTTTGTGGATGTTGCACAGAAGAATGCACACAAAACAAAGCCATACAGATCTTGTAAAATATGGTCAATACATGGTCTGTGGGTATATTCATGTTGCTAAATAAAATGGGGTGAGAGACTGAAGACGAAGTGGCACAGACTGCCAACCTCCATGAAGTACAGTGAGATGTCATCTTGGGGGTTTTTTTGCTTCCAACACGGTAATTTTTGTATGTCTGCTTCTTTTTTCAGATTCAAAACACCTGCGTTAATACAGTTTCTTACAACAGTGTTTTACAAGAAGGACCTAAAGGTACGTGTTGCATATTCTGCCCTGTGGTATGGGGACGTATGAGGACGTTTCAGGATGAAAAGCCTGCTGCAGTGCTGCTGAAAGACTGCGTAGGTCAAGGGGACCTTATCCACACTGCTTTTTGAGGATACCTGAGACGTGGTATCCTCCAAACCTTGCCTAGACATTTTCTTGGTACATGCTATAGAGGGCATTGGCCAACACTGTCCCAGGGAATATACTGGAAATAACACAGCACAAGCTCTTACCAACTATAAATGTTGTCAGTCCACAACAAATAAAAGCATTACTTACAATTTCATCAAGCTCCAAACCAAACTCAAAGCAAAGCTCATTAAATTCTTCATCAGCTGTGAAGAAAGACAGTGAATTTTAGTTAATAAACAGACTTCAGACTTTTAAAGTATTTTCAAACAAGATAACAAACGCTATTTTGAAAAAAAAGTAATTGAAAGAATTTTGCATGTGAGTAGTGGCTTCTTTAGTGGATACTGAATTTATTGACATGCTATTCTTACAGTGGGCAAGGGCTTCTGAGCCTAAGAGCCCAGCTTCACTACCAGCTCCTCAGCTGAGTTTGTCAGAGTGACTTTGGCCTGAGCAGGTAATGACAACACGAGGGAATAATTGGACAGTTTCTGCCAAAAGCTACTATTTTAATCAGTCAGCTTGTCAAACAGAGGTAAGTTAAGACGTGTAAGACAACCCTGACCTGAAAATGGAGATTTGCACCTATGTGTCTTAAGAGCACACCAACTCCAGAGTGGGCCAGATAAGCTGCTGTGTGTCCTTCAACGCTCCTTTCGCCCAACAAATGGTTCCTAAGTCACATTTCCAAGGACCCGAGGAAGAAGGGACTGAATGAAAACACGGTATTAATCTATTGCTGTGCCTGCTCCCACCCCTTCCCTCTCCTTTTTGATTTAACCAGTTCCCCAACCAGACAGTGAGACTCCAAGCGGAAGCCGCGATGTGGAAATGCACGGTTCTGATCTCATGGGCGATTTGCACGCAAACGGCACGGATTTGGGCAAAAGGCTGAAGGGTCCAGCGAGACCACATTGCCCACATTGTATGGCGTGAGGGGGCGCTGTGAAAAGCAGCCGGCTGGGTCACACCCCTGACACGGGCTTCCCCCGGAGCAGTTCAGACCCGCGGACACGGGACAGCAGGGAACGAGGGGTGCTGTCGGTCAGACGGCCCCATCTCCACGGCCCTCGGAGGCTTGCCCTGGTCACCGCAGCCAAGCACAACCCGCCCCGTTCAGCC